CTACAAAGATAAAATAATTTAATACAAAAAAGATCATCAAAATAAGTTAATTGATAAATCAACAAATAAAATATAAAAAGTCTAAAAATATTATAACTCAATCAAGTGAAATAAATTTCGTAGTACAATTACTAGATAACAGTTGCTCGTACTTATTTATTTGAGTCATGTAAGGAGTAGCCAATGCGGTTGCGCAATCATATTTGAAGCGAAACCAATTTGGCACGATAGAAGGCATCGGGTGCCCTTCTGCCAAAAATATTTTGACGTAATGATTATCGTTAACGTACCCAATTGTAAAAGCAACATGTTCATACCACAACGGATGACTAGATCGAAGTGGGAAGAATGTCAGACTACCTATAGTTGTTAAAGAATGCAATATCACATTGCATCTTGAAGCAATCAAGAAGCCCGTTTCAAAAACATCCACCAAATGCTCATTTGGTACAAATGAGTCCAGCTCAAAGAAGTTCAAGGAGTTATAAAGTTGATACCGTAGTTCAATGCCATACAACTCGAGATGTTTAGTTTTGTACATGTTTAACTCCTCCATTAAATCTATCGAATAGATAGCCATTCATCTTTATCGCGACCAAGACAAACAACTATCGCTCGAAATCCGCAATTTCTATTGCCTTTTACATCTTGTACCTATGTAATGTAAAAATGAAAATTATTTAAAAATTGATTAATATATTGAAAAAAAAAAATTAACTTGCATGAACTACGTTACGTACCTGCACGATGTACTCCTGCCGAGTTTAATATTCTATGACTTTTATTTACTATTCTATTGAATAAAAGTAATTCATAATCATCCGGTTATGATCGATCTAAACCAGCCCATTATGTATATGATTCAACATGCCAAYTATTAAACAACTTATTAGAAATACAAGACAGCCAATTATAAATTGATTAATGTATGGATGTGCATAATTATTTTTGGTCGAAGTATGAACTACGTCTCATTTGTTCATTGTTCACCAATATATCAAACTCCACAAATGTTGACGCGTCTAGACAACTATGCCTATGAGGTTCTTGAGTTGGTGGACCGACATTGAAAATCGTTTTTCCAACTAGCCATTAACAAGTTTGAAATCGTAAAAAGAGAATGTTGAAATGGTTCTTTGTGAATGAAAATACAAATTCCACTTCCATTTTATGGATTATTTTTCGAACTTTTAAAGTTGCAGAAGGATTAATTATATATTCTGTGAAAATATAGATAAAATAAAAATTAAGAATTTGCATATGAATTTTTAAAGTTTTTATTCGATTTTTATAAGTACAAACTATATGACTATATACATATGGTTAAAATTTGTAAAATTATAAAACAAACGATATATTATTTTTTATAAATAAAAAGGCTTATTGTTGTCATATTT